AGCTGGTTTGGTGAGACACTTACCTTAGATCTTTGGCTTCATTTCAGCCAGCGGAAGTTCTTGAATCAGGCAATGACTCTCCCGTTATGCAGCATCAGCACCAGCAGCCTGAGTGTAACAACACGCTAAAAAGAGTGGCAGGGGCAGTGGGAACGGCGGCAGGCTAAGATAAGTTGAAGGGGCCTCTGCTTCATTCAGTGGCGTAGGGCAGCCCTGCGCAGCCCTGCGCAGCCCTGTGCAGCCCTGCGTGCATGCATGCAGTCACTATCTGCATGCATTATCTGCATGCAGCAGCATCATACAGCATACTGAAAAGCTTATTTAGCCATGTTTATGCTGCATGCATGCAAGCAAAGGTATATACACATCACGATCAAGCATATTACACTGTGGACAGTCTCGTTAGGTTATAACTAAAGCACTCACAGGCCGTCCTACAACACAGCACAGTTACCAGCAGCAGCCACAGCAGCAACAGCGGCAGCAACGGCAGCACTAGCAGCAGCAACAGCAGGGCTCTGGAGGCACTCAAGGAGGCGGACCTCTCACCATCTGGCCCAGCTTTTCTTCATCTGCATGCATCAAACACGACAGCCCCACAACGTAGTGACGCCCCCCTTCAAACATCTCTTGCGAAGCGAATTCATAAAATTAAAAATACATAACTGAGCAAACGCTTTGATCGACGCTACAGATATTATGTATTTATATTGTGTACATATAACATACATTATACATATTATATATTAGAACAGAGAAGTGGTATGGAGCCGCTGCCTTCTCCCGTTTACGAGGATGGGCTTACGCGACGGCCTGAGAAGAGACAGCCGGCGGAGATTAGCTTGGTGCCGCCGGGCCCTGCCGTTTGCCTCTGCTCCCGAAGAAGAGAAACTGCTGCTGCGGCGGCGGTTGCTACTGCTGCAGTCGCTGCTGTTATTGCTGCTGCTGCTGCTGCTGCTGCTCCTGAGTTCTCCTAGCCTTGGGGCTATACGCGCACTTGCAGGGGATGTAATCTAGAAGGAGGAAGCAGTTGTCTCTTCTTTCTCTTCTGCCTACAGTTGAATATAAACTCTGTATTACTTCACTTTGAGTTTATACAAATAGTTAATTTATTTTTAATTAATACATCTATTGATAAATTTAATAACTACAAATTCGACTGCATATAGAGACAGAAAATGCAGGCCCTGGCTACTGCCCCGTGTTTAGGGGGAGAGATGAGAAGTGTCTCCTCAGATACAGGCTATAGACGAGGAAGGGGACAGCTGCATAGCTCGCTATACACCCCACCAGCAGACAGATGCATATCTCCCTATACACCCCACCAGCAGACAGCTGCATATCTCCCTGTACACCCCAGCAAAACGGTCCCTTCTCTCTCTTTCTATATAAATAAAGACACAGAAACAAAGCCTGAGCCGCCAGCCAGTTTACTCTAGCTCACTTAATTCAAAAGAACAGCACAAGGAGACACAAAGACAAGGGAAAGGAGACACGGAGACACGAGAAATGGGACGCAATGCCGGAAACACGAAGACAGAGACACTGAGAAACCAGCAGGGAGACATAGAAACACCGGAAGAGAGACAGAGGCAGCAGCATGAAGACACAGAGGGACAACAAAGGAGACAAAGAAACACCGGGGAGGAGCCAGAGAGACACAAAAAGGGAGACACAGACACCCCAGAAAGGAGACATACAGACTAGAAAGTAACAAAAGTGGAAACAGTAATAAAAGAGGAGACAAGAGCCCAGGAGGATACAACAGCTTAAAGAGGCAAGAGAAAACAAGCACAAAGGATATNAAAGAGGAGACAAGAGCCCAGGAGGATACAACAGCTTAAAGAGGCAAGAGAAAACAAGCACAAAGGATATGAAACACGAGGAGGAGGATACACATAGGCCAGAGAGGAGAGAAGGAGACAGAAAAAAAAAAACAGAGACGCAGCAGCATACCCCAGGGCCCCTGTAGCTGCTGCTAGCTTTGTGGGTGTTCAGAGCATCTGGGGGCCCTCAGTAAACCCATTGAGTCTTTTGCTCAGCTGCAGCAGCTGTCTCCTGCCAGGTGCTGCTGCAGCACCAACTGCAGCAGCAGCAACTGCAGCAGCAGCAGCAGCAGCAGCTATTCGCGGTCCCTGTGAGTTTCTCTCAAGGGGGGGGTGGGAGCCAACAGAAGGCCTCTGTCTCCTTCTGAGTTTGTGTCTCTTTCCCTTTGTTACTGTTTCCTTCTCTTTCGTTACTGTCTCCTTCTCCTTTGCTGCTGTCTCCTTCTCTTTTGTTGCTGTCTCCTTCTCTTTCTCTACTGTCTCCTCTTTCTCTACTGTATCCTTTTCCTTTGTCACTGTCCCCTCCTCTTTTGTTTGTTGAGAGAAAGAGAGGAACACCCCACGCCCCGAGTGTATATTCATAAAGAGACAGTAAAGGAGACAGAGGAGACATCTCGCTGTATCGACAGCCCCACTGTGTTGCTGGCAAAACAACTGATAGCATCTGCCTCTGCTGTTCTTGTTTTTTTTTTGTTGTTTTTATTGTTTTGTTTTTTTTTTGTTGTTTTTATTGTTTTGTTGTTTTTGTTGTTTTGTTGTTTTTTTTATTGTTTTGTTTTTATTGTTTTTCTGTTGTTGCTCTGATATTATTATTATATTTTTTTTTATTTTTTTTTTATTAATATTATATAATTTGTTGTTTTCTTCTCTACTGTCTACTATTTGCTTTGTTACTATTACTACTAATACTATTAATTTTATTTTTTTACTACTATTATAATTGTTGCTGCTGCTGCTGCTGCCTGTCTTCAGCAGCAGCTGGGGGCTCTAAGACACACGGGGCAGCGCAGACAGCGGGGAGGCTGAGGTGTCTCCTCTGTGGAGACAGCCAACCGAGCGTTGTATCAAAAGGAGACAGACAGCAGCTCGGGTGCTGCTGCTGCTGCTGCTGCTGCTGCTGCAGGAAGGAGAAGGAAACAGAAAAACATCTGTCTCCTCTTTGTCTCCTTTACCTGCCCTCAAAAATATGCTGCTGCTGCAGCAGCAGCGCCACGCTAAAGCAGCAGCAGAGTGCAGCAGCAGCAAGCTGCAGCACGTTGCTGCTGCAGCAGCCGCAGAGTGCAGTTGCACCTTTATTTGTTTTGTGTGAGATGTGTCTGCGGTATTTAAAATATTTGTAAAACCATATTGGCGTGTAGAGAGATAACAGCAACAGAAGCTGCTGCTGCTGCTGCTGCTGCTGCTGCTGCAGCAGCAGCAGCAGCTTCGTTGCACTGTGCCTCCCTTCAGGTGCCTCTTGAGACTTACCTGGGGGGCTGTGCTGCATGCAGCAGGCAGCAGCTTGTGCTGCTGTTTCTCCGTTGCGTTGATTAGGGATTAGGGTTTAGGGTTTAGAGGAGACAATAGAAATCAATTGGGGGGGCTGCTGCCGGCAGAGAGTTTAGG